GTGGTCGTGGTCGTGGTGGTCGTGGTCGTGGTCGTGGTCGTCATCATCATCGTCATCATCATCATATCCTCTTATCACACAAGTAGGCACATACAGCCATTCTCAAGCTAATTTCTGTTCCATGCCATTGCCTTGGCAAAATCAGTCTTCATCTTCAATACTGCAGTATTAAATAAGTGATCAGTGCCATAATGTATGTAGTGTTTGCTTGTCAAGTAAGATCATTAGTTGAGGATAAATTGCATATTCCCTTTTGATCCGTGTTAATGAACATCTACTTCTTTCCTTCCCTCTGTAACAGCTTCTCTCTGGTGACACCATTTGGGAACGTGGAGATAAACCTGGACTTTATCTGTAGCTGTCAGTGTGAGAAAGATGAAAACTTAGTAAGATTCCTTTACATTATTCATGTGTTTAGAACGACCTTGATAACGAAAGGTACATGTACATGTAACGTAGGAATTGAAGGAGCAAGATGCATGTGTAGCTCCTCAGTGTTTGTGCTTAACTTAAAGTTACTGAGAGTGCTGGTATTTACATCTCCCCTGGATGGGATGAGATACTACATGTAAGCCTTTCCTGGTTACCCTCCGCTCCCCCATGGGTATTTTGTTAGCCAGGCTGCCTTAGTAATCCAATAGTACCCCTTTACACTCTTCACTGAAAGGACGCACTGTGATGATTAAGCATCTTGTCTCAAAAGCACTGCACAATGACCCCAGTCAGTACAACGTCGATAACGGAAGTTTCTCTTGTGGGTTTCTAGAAAGCATCCATTACCTACACAATGGAAGATCATTGAAAATTTAAAGGGGATGGATGAAAAGGGTTCCAAAGGTCAGAATTTTAAAGAAATTATGAAGCCATTCCGGAATGGGAGAACCAAAAGAGGCATTCTTGAATGAAGTTGGGGAAGGGTATAGATATATTCTGGAGCATCACATCTCATGTAATGTGTTTCTTGTAGGAAGAATCCAGTCCACATTGTTCTGGCAATGGCACATTAACTTGTGGGCTGTGTAAATGCCACAAAGATAGGTGGGACCATTCTTTCTGATTTTAGAAGTTAGCAATAGACCATTTTACAGTTGTCTGCTCAGTGACCTGGCCTTTGGATGGCAGCGAGGCTAGAGTTGACCTTGCTTTGATACAGACCTCACTGCTCTTGTCATGTAGATGCACCTAGTTAGCATCAGAACAACTTGATTTACACAACAAAAGCAGTGAGGTCTGTATCACTGCCATCCAAAGGCCAGGTCACTGAGCAAACAACTGTAAAATGGTCTATTTAAGGAGACACAGCCGTGAAAATGCAGTTCTAGATTTTCTTTATCATTAGTTGTTCATATAACATGATCGTCTGTCACGGTCTCGTTCGTGGCCAACTTTTCTACAACCTGAGCAGAAGTCATCTTCAGTTTCATCAAAGCGTTTAGGATCATGTTCATGCTCTGAAGATGAATTTAGGTTGTCAAGATATCAGCCACCAACAGTTGTTTTCAGAATCATCCTCACCTGGAATATCACACCATACTACTAATACTCCCGGGCTTACACATTCTTACCATGTTTTTTCATTAGTAACTTTCCGTTTGAAATTGTCTTGGGTAGTCATAGGTAGGTCAGTTATCTACCTTTAATCTGATGCAAGGTAAATTGCACCAGGAAAGTGGCTCATACAGCCAGAGCGTTTCCCGGTCTCTGTGACATTAAGCCCCTGGGAGTATTTCTACTCGTCCCTACATGGGATGTCAGTCCAACGCGGGGCTACCCCCGTCATTAAATTCGCTGGTACCAATACACCTGGGTGGAGAGAGGCACTGTTAGAGGTCAGGGTCTTGACCAGGTCCCTGGCCAGGGCTCGAACCCAGACCACTCGATTCAGGTCCAGCGTACTAACCTTTAGGCCTCACCCCCACAATCTGATGTTCACGTTGCTTTTTTCTATTATAGGGCTGGACGAAAATGCCAGTGCAAAGAGGAAAATAAACTTGCACCCAGCCAATGTATCAAGTATGGTTTGATTGCAAACTTAGTTTGGAATACTTACGCTTGCATAATGTTTGAATTGCAGGATTGTTTGGTTCAGAAACTCTTAGAGTATTCTACAAGCGTTTACAGTGGAACCCTGTTAATGCGGATTTTCATTTGACGGGCGTTAAAATGTAAAATTAATTATTTCAGATTATTTTGATAATTTGTAAACAAACCCGCGTGTCACACGGGTACGTTACACTTTAACGGTTAACATTAAATACAGGTATAGCTTTAAAGCGTTTTTGGATGAGACATGTAGTTTCAGGAGACGTTAAAGTTATAAACGTCTTAAACTTTAAAACCAACTTAACACAAGACAATTATTGGATCATTCCTTATCTTAAGAAACTAAACCCTTTTGATGCTATAAAATTGCGGCTGCTTGTGAACTAAACTAGAGTAAACATAAAATTGAGTGAGTTTTATTGCTTGTGTATAATACATGTATGTCTTCAGATTGAATCAAACTGCTTTGTTAAAGTTGCAAGAAACGTTTCGCAATAGAAACTCTACCGCAAAGTAAGTATGAAATGAAAACCGCGGTCACACGCTAAATATAAACTTTAATGTGGTCTTTAGAAGTTTTGCGCGGTAGCCATGTTGCATGGCAGGAACAGTGAAAATGTTTAGCAGTAAAAAGAACTTTTTTTCCTATAGGAAAAAGAATCTATTGTTCCTGCCATGAAACATGGCTGCCGTGCAAAACCTTTATAGAACGGTTTTCGTTGGAGTGTAGAATAGTAGTTTGTTTTACATAATAACGGCGTAAATACGATTGGCTTAAAAAACTCGCGCCACTTTTTCATCCAATCAGAAGCAAAGCCAAAACCAATCGTAACTCGTTCGCAACAGGTTTTCCCGCGCTTCACGTCAGCTACATGTAATAACTTCGAGTTTTGATTGGTTCACTGTATTTTCTGTGTCCTTCGTGATTGGTTCGAGTGAGTGGTTTGGTTTTACGTCACTCAGTTGAAAACCGCTCCATCAACAACCGTTGGCATTACAAATTACACTCAAACTAATTCGTAATTCACGGGAGTAAACATGTCAAGTAAGGTCTTAAGAAAAGTTGCTAATCAAATACGAAATTTTTTCTCATTTGTGTAACTTTTTTTCTTTGAATTCCTAAGCTGAAGTAAAGTTAACAATGAAACCTGGCCAGCACTTCCTTGTTAATATTTATACATTAAATTAAATAATTAAAACATGTTACGACGTAGCTGAAACCAAGTTTTTGCATGTTAACATTTTCTTCTAAAATATAATGCAACAATTAATTTTGGCCGACGAGTCACATGTGATATGTATTTGATCATTATTAGTTTTCTACAGTGGTAGTAGAGTTTTTCAAGTTTAATGTCACATGGCTAATTCGATCGAAATGATTTCAGGTGAACAATTAACTGAACTAACCTGTGAAGTTAGATTTGTTCCTCTTTCAAATTCCAGTCACCTTGAAACTGCTGTTCTTCAGAGATTAAACTAAAACTAATAAAGTATCTAACATAGTAAACCTTAAAAAAAACTTAAAGAACTGAGACATTGTGAAACATTATGTCTTCCTGGTGACGTCACTGTGAAGCATCGCTTGTTATCGTGGTGACGTCATTGTGAAGCATCGCTTCTTATCGTCATAACGTCATCGTGAAGCAGCGATTTTAAAGTCATTACGTTATTTTGAAACATCACTTGGTAACGTCAAGAAGTCACTATGAAGCATCGTCTGTTGTAGTCATGACATCATATACACGTGATGGCTTTCGGTAAAACTGCCTAGTGCCGTGTACAAATACAAGCAGAAATTCAAACGCATTGTGTTGTGCCATACTGCGTCGCACGCGGGGTTGTGTTGGTTATTTACAAACTCATTGTTTATTTTTTTCCTCTGGGCCATGGTCACACAAAGCTCTTCACATGAACTGAATCTAACAGAAATAAGCAGAAGCTGTTGTCTTTGCTCCTTTGGTTCGGTGTAAGTTCGGCCTTTCAACATGGCCTCAATGAATTAGTGCATATTTCCCACAGTATAAATTACATCAGACTGCAAACTCAGAAACATACCCAGCCGTTGATTTTCTTCAATTTTCGAAGTCGTAAAGCAACAGTCGAAATCCCCTCTCCATGATTGTTCCACGGTGACTAATCTTGGGTTTTTTCCCCAGGGACAATGCAACGGACGCTCAGGTGTGTAGTGGACTAGGAACCTGTCTGTGCGGAGACTGTGTGTGCAAAAAAACTGGGGTAAGTGCCGTGAGTCAAAGGTTTTTTTTAGAGAAATAATCAAAACCATTTTACGTCTAGTCGGTCAGGAACATTGCATAAAACAACGATTGTGATCTCTTTATGACCCGCTCCTCCCCTAAAAACCGGTTTTGGTTTTGGTTTTACCACGGTTTGAGATTGGCTGAGCAGTCTAATTGGTATGTAATTGGTTTGGTTTTGGTTTTACGACACTCAATTAAAACCCGCTCTAAGTACCAGTATTGAAAACTTATGTCAATTTTTCAGGTCTCAATAGGTTTTGTCGATTAGGCTCATCACAACGGCTGTGTGTTGGCTCTCTCCCCCACTCCTCCCCCTCCCCCTACAAAAGTGGGTGCGTTCACGTTAAGTATACTTCTGATGTACCCTTGTTTTTCAGCTTCGCCCTGGTGAAATCATAAATGGTAAATACTGTGAATGCAGCAACCTCGATTGTCCTTCAGACCCAGACACGGACCTCATATGTGGCGGTAAGGATATTAGTGTAGACTGCTATCACCATGCTATTTTTTTTAGGCGATCAGAATCTGCATCTTAACAAGGTATGATGTCGGGTGACAGAGTTAATCCCCACATAGACCTTAGCCTTATAAACCTTAGGAGTGGTATCTAGTCCTTTCGCGGATAATTTTACACGCTGTTGCGTGGATATTTTCGTGAAAGTTTAAAATGCGTGTAAAGCCGCTTGGATAGCCCAGGTGGGTCAAATCCCCGTCACGGTGTTGACTATTTCTAGACCCTCCTGGGATTTTGGAAATCATGGCTGATCTGCAAATAACATGAGATGAATTACCTTGGGAATAAGGCCCCTATAACTCCCTTACCCCTTCATCTTTCTCTGTAGTTCAGCTTAGTACATCTATGAAGACATGATTGATCATCGCAGTTATACACACAACTTAAGCAGTTGTGAAATTACAACCTGAAAACAATTCAGGCCTGAACGGGATTCGAACCCATGACTTCTGCGATACCGGTGCACTGCTCTACCAACTGAGCTATCAAGCCTACTGGCAGCTGGTCACATTGTTAGTTCGTAATATACCCATAGATGATGAAGTGAATATATGAAGGATCATATATTTGAACTGCGGAGAAAGATATGAAGACATGATTGATCATCAATTTCACAACTGCTTAAGTTATGTGTATATCTCTGATGATCAATCATGTCTTCATATCTCTCTCCGCAGTTCAAATATATGATCTTTCATATATTCATTTGTATTAAGTACATCTATATTTGCATGCTGATGCAGCATGTTTTTGTGACGCAAAAGCAGTTACACGTTAGCCTTTTAAAAAGTAAACAAAGGGTTTTTTTTATACAGTCTCCCCCCTCTCCCCCAAAGGGTCTCCTCTCTCCTATCGCTTTGTGTTGTTGTTGTCAGGTCCTGAGCATGGCCAGTGTTTATGTGGGAATTGTAGCTGTTCAGGAAACTGGACAGGCCCCTCGTGTAGCTGCACAACGAGTACTGAAGGCTGTATGAAGGATGGGGTGAGTTTATGATTAACTTGAATAGCTTTTGATAAGTTTTTGTAATTTAGAACTTGCTATTATAAAGCTTAACACCAGGTCTCATCTCGTAAAGTTCTAGGTCTTGTCCCACTGGGAGCCTGGTACGAGTGAACATACGAGTCTCATTTCCTCTGTATTTTTTTTTCCACACTCTGTTACGGCCGTGCTTAGGCTGCCCGTGAAGGAGACTGGACATGCTTTTATGAAGAGACTGACAAGCAAACCTTCTGCAGTTAGCAGGACTTTTTGGAAAGAAAACCACAGTAATTAGGTTGTTAGAGTAGAGTGCCGTCACTTACATCGTTCTTCGTTTTCAACTGAATTCCTAGTATTTTCTTTGTGTTTCCAGCTCTGCAATTGTTTTTTTTTTTTGAATGTGCCATTGTCACCTTAACTAAGCTTATATGTGGGGGCAGATCTTGGAAGAAGGACCCTTTCCCCAACCCCTTCCTACCCCCGGGAGAAATTTATTCCTCCTCCTTTTGAAGAAGAAAGTTTCACCTTCGCTTTACCCCTCCCCCTCCACCCTGTTTTGAGCATATCTTGATTCGACACTGACTCACTAGTGCTGCTTGTGAATTTCAGGTGCTGTGTAACGGCTATGGAACGTGCGAGTGCGGCACCTGTGTTTGTAACGCGTCCACAGTGTACAGAGGAAAATATTGCGACGAATGTCCGGTGAGTATTCTTTGCTTTTGTTATCAGCACATCGCTTGTTCTGTATGCCCGTCTTGTTGTATATTAACAAGGTTACCACAGGTGACTGGTCAGGATATGGTCAGGACAAAAATTCTTCAAGGTCAGGGAAAAGTTAGGGAAGTTTATTTTGACACAGGGAAATTAAAATTTTGAAGTAAGTCATTTAAGGCTGTAAAAACATTTCAGGTTGACTGTGATCTCAGTAATATTTTTTCTTAATGAAGCAGGGAAGCTGTCATTCTCAAGTTTAATAGGACGGCTGTGAAGGGAGGCTCGAGGCCGCTAAAACATCTGACATTTTTTATTTATGTAGGCAGGGAAATTTTATTTTTGTCTGGGGAAAGTCAGGGAAAAGTCCAAATATTTTGAAAACTGTTGTCGGTGGCAACCATGTATAAATCTTCATTTTGCGTTTAAGCAACCAAGTGACTGAACAGTTGATGGAACACGTAGGATATTTTGGATTACAATCTGAAACTGATAACTAGCGGCTGAAAGAAGCTAATCCTCCCTCCCGTTTTGTTGTTCTTTTTCAGAGCTGCGCTGGAAAATGTTCCCTCAACAAAGACTGCGTGCAGTGTTTGGTATTCAAGAGTGGAGTAATAAGTGCCGAGGATTGCAAGACTCGCTGCAAAGATTTCAAGATTAATGAAGTCGACGCGCTCTCTACAGGTAAGGCTGAGAAAGTATTTAAACGGCTTTAGCTCTGTAAACTTTTAGAGGTTTGGAAGTATCACTGAATTGTGGTTTTGTTGCCAGAAATGGGTGAAAGGTGCACGTTCAAGGATGACGATGACTGCTCGTTTAGCTTCAGCTATAAAGAAAATCCTGGTAAAGATGTCACGATATCTGTACAGCGGGAGAAAGGTACACGTTAAATTGCGTTACATTACGTTACGTTTCGTTTCGTTACATTACGTTACGTTTCGTTTTCATTAAATTACGTTACATTGCATTTTAACTCTTCTAACTTCCCAATCTGCTCTTTTTCTAGTCAGGGAATTTTCCAGTTTCATAAGATGCACCCTCAAGCATTCATTTTAGTTGAAATTTTGTTGAATCCTGCATCTACGTTATATTTCTCCTCGAAGTTACGATTTCTTTTGACCACTTTGTAGGAATATAGCTGTGACTGCCGCTGACTTTTCCAAATCATTTTTTCCTTTTTTTTTCATTCGTCAGTTTGTCCCAAGGAAGCAGAAGCACTGGCTGTCATTCTTGGCGTGGTTGGAGGAGTACTGGGCGTTGGTTTAGCTCTGCTCCTTATTTGGAAACTGCTCGCTACTATTCAGGTATGTGTTGATTGCGAGTGGTCGGGGGGGAGGGTGATTGAGGCTGACAGCTCTCGACTCACCAACATCTTCAACTTTTCCTGCAGCTCGTCTGCAGTGCACATACTTCAAGGCAAATCTCATAGTTTTCACGGACAGGCTCATTTTTAAAGCATTTTCAAACGACTCGTTGATAACGGTTGTCCTTTGATATCGCAGGACCGACGAGAATTCGCGAAGTTTGAGAAAGAGAGACAGAATGCTCAATGGGACACGGTAAGCTAGAAACAAGTTCAACTGCTTGTACAGTTCTTGGCCGAAAGCAATTCCAGTTTCTCATGGCATCTCCATTCGGTAAACTGTAAGGGTAGTCTCTATATTTTTTACCCCCTCGAGTAAGGAGCTTCCGAAAATAGCAGAGTTAAAGGTTGCGTGACAGCCCAATTAAGGTCTACGTAGGAGTCGCCTGGTGACAGTTTAAGGTTATATCGACTCATGTTAGCGATGTACAAAGTTGTCAAGCCTGTAGCTGTCCAAACACCGTTTGTTATTGGCTCACGAAACAATATATAAATGATCCAAACAATACCCCTGTCGCTTGAAACAATAGAAGCTACAGGTTACAAGGACCAATGAAAATACAAGTCTGGAAGAGGTGCTGGACTACAAAGTTACCTTCACTTTGAAGGTAGCCACAAATGACAGCCAGAAAAAAACCAAAGAAACAATAGAAAGGTAAAAACAGGAGGAAGGATGGTCAAGACTGGCTGAAAGATAAAGACGGATATGCAAACAACGAACGTGGAAAAGTGAACCATTCCATGATTTTACCAACAAGCTGTCTGTTTTCCTTTGCAGGGCGAGAATCCCATCTTCAAACAGGCTACAACTACCTTCCAGAATCCAACGTATGGTGGAAAATAAGGTAGAAGAACAAAACAAACTGTGGAGAAAAACGTAGCTGTAAACATCTTAAAAAGTCAGGAATGTTTTTCCGGCCGTCCGACGTTTGGTGGAGGAAAAACACTGATACCGGCCCCGTTAACTTTTGTACATTTTGGCCGTCCTCACGTCTGTTTTACTAGTGGTTTTCACCCCTTATCACGAAAACAGCCAACAAAATACGCTGGAATGTTAATGTTAAAAGTAGAAACTGCGCATGTGTAGATAACATGATTCTTGTCCCATCCGTCCCATCGCGCCGCGCCTTCGAAAACCGCGGAAGACTCCATGTTGGATTTACATGTATATTTTCCTCAGTGGATTGTGGACGATGCCATGTATTAAGTTCTTTCTTCTGACATAACACAAGCGGTTTTGAAAGCCTTACTTTTCGAGATTCTCGCCAAAACAATAACTAACAATAATTATGCGTTTTCAAAAACCACTTTGAAACCGTTTTCAGGGGACACGTTCGATGTATCAACAGTTTGCGTACGAACAAACGAGAAAACGGCCATAGACAAACAAAAATGTCCATGGGTAGAAGGGGCCTGAGAAAGGGAAGACCATAATTTATACAGCGGAGGGTATGTCATTAACGCATATAGTATTTGACTCAAGATGTACGAAATAGACTGGAAGCAAAAAATGTCCGAGTTGTTTTTATTTTTAGAATAAATTTTATGTCACGTTGGCAAGATATCTAGTAACCATATTTTTTCAAGTTTTTTATATATATATAATTTGATTGTTTATTTTATTGTTTAACTGTTACTCGCCTATGTTTAATTTGAACAAGTTTAGGGGTGCTTTTGGTTGTCATACTAAACGAATTTGACACGCGTTTTAAAGGAAATTCTGTCGGTTTATAAAGTGTTGTATTTGAAAGTTGGAGCGATTTCTAGCTACAATCTTCGTCAGAATAATACATGAAGAAAAATCCACCCCCTCCCCCGAATCATTGATGAACTCGCGCTACAACCAAAATGCACCATTTTTTCCATCACTGAAATGGGGGAAGGGGTGGTCTTAATTTTCATTTAAATATTGACCAAGATTGTGGGTGTAGAATTAACATTGTGTTTGCCGTCGTAGAGTGAAGAAATTAGGAAATGATCCACAAAGTAAACTTGTCTTTGATTCTTGGCTAATTTGGTAACCTCGTTTCGTTTCAAGAGGAAATTGTAAGACCCGAAAAGCTTCGCGTCTTGCAATTTTCTCATATTTCTTTTCTTGTGTCGCTAATAATGGAACTTTCTTGTACAGTGTATAAAGTGTGGATATCATTTTTGTGCCATTATTAAAGTAACTTTTACCCTATTTACTGATGTGTCCTATTGTTTGTAATCAGTAATCTAAGGCCCCGTCCGCGCTAAGCCGGGGAAATTTGAAAACGCAGCTTTATTTCTCCGCCGAGGCCTACCGTTAACACTAATCCGTAACGAAAACAGAGCTTTTCGAGAACGCGCTTCAAACGCAGAAATTTGAAAACGCCGGCTTTGCGTTTTTATGTGGACGAAAAACGTTTTGATAACATAACTTTTCGAAAACGATGTCGGCAAGATAATCACATGATTTTCCTGACCGAGTTTTCATCAAACACAAATCCAAAATGACCAGTGATTGTTACGTTTTCAAAATTTCTCCGACATAGTGACGGAAAACATTCGATGCGTTTTCAGAAAGAAAACACAGTTTTCAAATTTCTCCGGCGTAGTGTGAACGGAGTCTAAGAAGGAAATAAATCTTTATTAGTCCCTACGTATTTTGTATGATTACTGCATTTACTCGAGAGTGCGTTTTTTGGAGTGATCCGGGTCAGTGATGCAAGATGACCCCGACAATGGTGCATCAGAGGAACCGATGATGAATCCTCGCTGGGCAACGATTCATCAGATTCATCTGATGTAACATGATCCAAGTTATCCTGACCCGTATCAATTGTGCGGTTCTCTGAAAACAAAGAGATTTCCAACGATTTCGCGAAGAGTTGGAAAACGT